CTGTTTTGAGTGCTCTCCCAGCCCTGGGGTAGCCCTCATCCCTGCAGAGCTGCCTTTTTAGTATGAAATGCTCCCTATGGCTTCCGTAGTTCTGCTTTATGGAGGTTTGTCGATGCCTGCACTAGTAGTTCAACCTGTGCTGCAGCATCCCTGAGATACTCCCGAATCATCTGACTGGAAACGCAGAAGGAAGACATGCCTGACATCCAACATGAGGGCTGTGCTTAAACCACACAGTGGTTCAGTCTCAGTTCTGAGGTAAAACAGATTTTATTCCCTTGTCTGCTGTAGGGAGTTTGATTTTATGGCTAATATTCAGAGGACCAGGAGTCACAGCCCTCTTGCATGACTAGGCAATAGTCTTTCCATGCCATTTCCCCACACCTTTCACAGAAGAACCAGAGAACACTCAGCCCAATAATTGCTGTTGCTTGCACTGTTAGCAGGGATTGATAAAATCTTTCTCTTGGGGAAAAAGCAGGTGTCATGTGAGGAATCCCTCTGGGTTTCTTTAAGATGGAAATAAATCAAGTAGTGCATAACTCCGGTAGGATATGTTGGGCAGGATTTAGAGTACATTCCTGCCTTTAGCATTTCCTGTGAATATCACACTAAAAATGTGGCATTTTAAAATGTCTGTGTCCTAGGTGAGGACTTCTGGAAGCTGGTCATTAAAATGCAATTGTCTAATGAGCACTGATGTCATTGCTGTACACTTGTAGAGAGCTAGTTGTAAACACTGAGTGGTTCAACTGAGAAACCAGCTTCCTGTAGATTAATTGTGACAGTGATGTATGTAATACATAAATAGCACTAATCAGAGATGCCGGCCATATAACCATGGGGCAGGCAGGAAATGAACACAGCTGAGAACTTTGCACACTCACTTTCTTATTTTGACCTTTCAAGAGACGAAATAAATGAATTTAGTTAAGCGCAGATATAAACATATTCCACAGCAGAAGTTCTGCAGAAGCTACAGAGATTCCCAAGCCTGCACCAAGCTTGAGTTTCCATCACAGATGCCTTACAAAATTCTTTTGAGATCCCTGGCTGACAGGACCTACAGACGCCCAGTGCAAAGCGTTATGTTCCTGTTGACGGTGATCTGTATCTGAAGCAATGCAATTTTGTTTCCTTCCTTTTAAACACCAGCAACAAAAGGAGGTTTTATAATGTGAACTGTGTAGGCATTATAATGCTTCTCCTCCGCTAACTCTGAAGTATTCCACATGCCAGGTTTCTCCACTAGGATGAATCCTTTAAGTGCACCACTAAAGAAAATCACTGAATTTGCAGACTGCAAGCTCCTCTGCTTGAGATTTACAACAAAACTGTTTTCCTTTTGGCATTGCTTCATGAAGCAAATCTTATTTTTAATCTGAAGAAAAACAAAACAACCATGTTTTGGATGATATAATTATTAAATTGTAGGTCCAGTTATGGTTTCCAATAAGGAATGAACAACATAAATATTGAGGAGTAATAAGTTGTTAAGAAGTTACTGAAGAGCAGAATTATTTATTAATGACAAGCAGAATTATTTATTAATGACAATTCATTCAAAACATATAATTTTAATTTTCTACTCTTCAAAGCCCTTTACAGGAAAAAGAAAGAGAAATATGGAAATACATCTTTTCAGCCCATGCTTTTCAGTGAAGTTTCTTTCCATGCTTATTCTTCACAGGACAGTAAACAGACTGTGTTGCTTTTTTTTTTTTTTTTCTTCCCACAAAGATTAATATCTTTTCCCTTCAGCAGAAACTAAAACAAACAACCCCACAAAAGCCATACTGGTAAAATTGGATCTGAATAAGAACAATGGTGGAGCTCAGTTGTGTAGGAGCCTGGGCAGTGCTAGAACGTGAGTGTGGACATGAAGGAGGCAAAGTTTACACTTACCTGGCAAGTAACAAAAATAGCTTGAAGAGAGATGTGGCAGGATTACTCACAAAGGAGAACTTCTCATTGTGCTGTAGTTCTTTGGGCTGAGCTGAACCACTCAGTCCGGGCTTCACTTCTATTCAGCTGAATTGAAAGTCTGAATCTTTCAGTGCTTGCCCTAAAAGAGAAATGGGACATATTCAGTGTATAATACAGTGTCGTTATTGCTAATGGTGTCAGTCAACATGTCTTTCACAGAGAGCAGCTATTGGGTCTATACAAGTCAAGCATGACTTGATCATCAGCTGTGACAGGACCTTGCCAAACACTAACAGAAGCCCATGCAGACACTTTTTCAGACGAAGAGCAGGCCCAAAGGGATCAGGACATCACCTTGAGGAACTTCCTGCCCTTTATGATCTATTCAGTTTTGCTTTTTTGTCACATAAAGATTGTTCTGAAAATACATATTCTATCCATCTAACTATGAAAGCTCTTGAAAAATGTATTTATTGTTTTCTACAGGTAATAAATCATTAAGTCAATACTGCTCTCACTTTGTAGGGGTGATTTTGATCTGGGGGCCTAAAAATCACTAGTCTCCTTCCCAAAAGATTTGTGAATACATTTCAGTGGTTAGAGAAATGGTTGGGAATCAGGACATTTGGTTCTCATCCCAAATTCCTTTAGAGCTTTCTAGGTCTCTAGTCATGTCATCAACATAATATTGTGAGTCTTCTTTTTCTCGCTTAAAATAACTTAGTCATTTTTCTCTATCATCATCCTGCAGTACACAAAATGGCCCAGAAGCATTTACAGGGTCATTAATACCGTTGCTATAACTACTGTAGCCTGCAGAGCAAAACAGAAATACTTAGCACCAGCACCGTCGTTGACAAAACACAGACTGACTTTGATGCAATTTGGCTGCTTCAGGGCCTGGATTTAATATTAGCTTTCTATTAATGGAAAAAAAAAAGTAGATTAAAAAAAAAAAAGAGATTGTTTGTAATTATTCCCTTCCTCCCTGCCCGCCCACGCCCAAATTTCTGAGTGGATTCTCAGGAGATGCACGGCACATTGCTGCATGCTGGACTGACCCTGTTCTCACAGTATAGTACAGTAATATTTGAAGCATCTAAGACATAACACCCATTGCTTTAGAGTCACTTAAGAGAGTGGACGGGGCAAGCCGTTCAGACGTACACTGGGGAGAGCCCATCACTGGTGGGTGCTGAAAGAGATGACTTAACGTTTCATTTCCACCTATAAATTGCAAGGTATAGTGGCAAGGCCACCCTAATTCACTTCTGAGTGATGCTTCGTGCTACAAATCTTTCTTCAATCAACTTATATGAACTATTGAGGCTACAATTAACAACATTTTCAGGATCTGAAATCGCCAGGTAATAAAATTATGGCAGATGAACACAGGTAGTATCATCTAAACCTAATAGGTGAAAAAAACTCTCACATGACTACCACTGTTGCAGAAAAGTGAAATAAAGTCATGCATTCTATATTTATTTACTTAGTGGTAAAAGGCAGAATATATTATTAAAGACAGCTGTGGTTACAGCTCGTTTAAAATAAGCAGGATGTGATACATAAGCCTACTCTGAAACTGAAAATGCAATTTAAAACTGTACTACTTGTTAAAGGTACTTGGGTCAGAAAAGGCAGTTTTACACTGAATATTTGCCATTCAGTCTGCTTTAAAATTTGTATTGCACATGTAATAACACGTGAGTTTTCTTTCATTTTTTCTCTCTTAAAAGAAAATCACAATAGGTAACATATTTTTTGTTATGTTTCAGAAATTTGGAGTCCCAGCAGAAGTTTATTTTTTTTTAGTTCTTTTGAATATTAGTACCTCTTGTCCTCCTCAGCTCTGCAAGCCACAAGGAAAAGGCCACGATGGGACTCTCACCAGAACTTACCCATGTTGCAGTAGTTGCACAGAACTGGACAAAATTGTGGGAAGGTGATGAGGTCATGTCTTCTCCCCAAGGCTTGGTGTTTCACCTGCATAATCAAAATGAGACAAAGGCATTAAAAAAAGGAGGATCATTTAATTCTTAAGCATTTAACTACAGACTAATTTTAATCTTTTCCATCCCCTCACTCAGCTGGCACTGAAGAAGTTTCTTTGGTAGATGTGTTGTTCCTATGACATCTCCAACACAAATTGTACTGAGAAAGTTAATTGACATCAACCTTGTATGTGAAGAAGTAGTTTCTGCTGATCAGCCTAAAAAATTAATACTTTTTTATTTTATGCAAACCGAAATGAGAAATTTTTGATTCTTCATTATCAAAATTTAAAAGAAAATTATGAATTTTTGTGCTGAACGAAAGACGTGTATTTTGGCTCTGAGATTGTAATTGAAAATAAACCCAGAGATATAAAGGATAAAGGAGGAGCTTTAAGTGGACAAACTTGAAATTAGAAATAGGTGCTCATAATTTTGGAAAAATGGTGCAAAAATTAAAGTCTCTTCTTACAAAATATCTGATCAACCACAGCTTCATCTGGCTCTTGCAGGAGACTCGGAGAAACCCCCGCGTTTTAAGTTAGCATACTGTAGATAGAACTGGTTTTGTGTCCAGCATATGGCACCTGAGGCTGCAGAGGGCAGTTTAAGTTCAGTTAGAAGTTCTTCTAAGAAAATGTTGTTTTACGCAAAATCATTATCCTTAAAGTTCATTTTAGGGAAACTATGTATGCTTCTCACAGGTGTTTGGGGGAAAATGGTGGTGTCATCCCAAGTTCCACAAGCAGAAACACAAGAGTTGCTCTCTGCTGATGGCTGTGTTTGTCTGGATGATCAACGGCCATTTTGCAAATTTGCAACCTCACTTCCCTAAATGACGACTGTAAAACCAGAACTCTACTTAAAGTCCTGTGCATGGGCGGCGGCAGCGGCAGTGAAGGTGGAGAACTTCCTTCTTCCCACTACCTGCTCTGGAAACTGCTCAACGGCCAACCGGGGGCAACCCAGCCCGATAGAGCGTGTGAGAGCCCTCCTGAGCGCATCAGTTACGCCAGATGTAACGGCTGTAAGGAAGTATAAGAAACATTTTCTGAAACTGGGAAGCTTTTCTAGAGGAAGATGGAGAACCCACTTCTTTTATTCCCCCAGCTAAACATTTCTGCTTCAAAGGATAAATCCTATTACAAAGTCATGAAATCAACGATTAAAGAAGAGCCACATAAAGCAAGCAAGCCTGGGTAAGTTTTAAGGTCATGCTGACACTCTGAGTTTTCTGTTTACATAGAGGATTCTTCTAACATAGCTTGTGGGTATGAATTTAGGGCACAGGTGGTTTTATTTTTGACATATATATGAAAACTCATGAACTGCAATCCTAGGCATTCTATACATAAAACATTAATTCGTCACAGAAATATTCTTTTACAACAAGAGACAAATCAAATAATAAAGTAAGAAAACAGGAAAGAGAGATTTCAAGAAGTTCTGAGAAAGGCTTCTTTAAAGCCTGAATATGATCCGGGAAAGTTTCTTTTTAAAAGTTTCAAATGACAGGAAGTGATACTTCCTTTTTTCTTTCTTTTTTTTTTTTTTTTGCGAAACATTAAAAGTAGAAGATGCTGAGCCAACTGTTTATGTTCTCTAATGTGAAATTTCACCACCTCATCTTTCAAATACATGAATAAGATACTGAAAATGAAAAGATTTCTGTTTCTCTTTGATGGTGCTTCATATGTACATTTCTGCTAAAATATAAAGAAAAAAATCATTACTGCGAATTATATATATGTAGGATAAGTAACATCAACATTACTATAAGTGAACATAGGGGCATCTATGGTGCAGAAGCAGAGATATTGGTCAAAGGGATTGTTTGAGGGAAAACCCCCCAAATTTCAACAAGGTTGCTTGAAAAGCTACACCAATTCTGTTGTAGAGCTAAACAGAAGAGAAATAGGCTGAGCCTTCTCCTGCAGAAATCTGAGTTCCATGAAGGTGATCATCCTGGTAAACCTGGAAACTTGACAAAAACAGCAAGGTAAGCATTATAAAAGGCTGAGTCGATGGGGATTCCTTTCAGGAAGTGCCAGTGTGACTCAGAACATTTCCTGCCTCTGTGTGTGTGCATTCAGACTTGGCAGAGAGTTACACTTTCAAGATCTATTTAATTTAAAAGTTAGCAATCTAACCCAAGCGTACAAACACTATAGAATTACCTGGTATGCATCAAGGTAGCTTGCCGCTAGTGCTTTCACACCACTAAGTGTAGACTTGTCCCCATACATTTGCTGACAACTTACTGCTTACAGGGAAATCATACAGCTCCTTGGAAAGCAGGTTTTCCAAAGAATTCTATGATATACAAATGCCAGATGCATGTCAGATGTTGAATGCATAGTTCCTCAATAACTGCAGTAATTGTTTAAACACTCTTGTCTCCAAAATTCAGATCCTGATGTTTAAACTCTGTTGTAATATTGTCCCTGTTACACTATATCTTATAAAGATGCAGAACAAAATCTTGGGTTTGTTGACTTTAGTGAGAGTTTAGTTCCTGACTTCAATGCGGTACCAAGATCTCATTGATATATTAAGAATTGCATTTGTAGGTCTTGACTGAAAAGAAGGAATGCATGAAGTACTGCAGCTCCATGGCCTAAAATATTTGCTGCCCCTTTCTTTCAGTCACAGATCACTTCACAACACTTCAGTGCTTCCTGTGCTCTTTTGTCTTGTTAAGCTTCATGAACCTTGTTTAAGCAATTACTAGCTTTGGGACCAAGATGCCTGCTTTGACCAGAACTGCTGCTATGAGCCCTTACTGGTTGTGAACACACGGCAGAGATTGTATAAAGGCTCAAACTCACTTTCTAGAACCCATGAAAATGTGACGAGAAGTGGGTTTCTAGACACTCACACCTATGCATCTGTATAGTTAGGCAGTGTGTTGCTCACACGGCCAAATGTCATGCCCATCCAAAGGATAGGGTATATGCATGATCTGGAAGATTTTCCAGTCCGTGCTCATGAGAGGTTTCATTACTTCCTTTTTTTCCCTCTGTCTTTCTTGTTTTGCTGTTGGCAGAAGCCTCAATTCAACGGTTTTACGGTTCGCTCAGAAATCCAAGGCATTGCAATGATGAACAGAGGTAAAGCAGTGCTGAGAACACCCTTTTTCCGTTTCTGGGTTCCAGACATGTAAAATCATGCTAAGAGTGCATCTAAAAAGAGAAAGCCCAGCCTCCGTGCCACCTGTGTGCAGACAGGACTGGGTGGCTGACTACCCCTGGGTATGTCACACAAAGTACACAGCCGTCAGGGCATTCTTACGGGCTGTGAAAAGGCACTTCCAGAGGCAGAGACAATAAACAATTCTCTGAAGAATTTCCACTTTTTAACAGACTATCACTTCCTTGTTCAGCCAACTGCCTTTTACCACTTTGCTCTCTCTCAGCCAGGTGCCTGACTAACAGGAATTCTACTGTTCTTGTATAGAGGAGAAACTGGTAGGTTTTTCTGGTCTTTCTCTATATACAGATTAGAGAGAGAGAAAGGTGTAGATTATTTTCATCAAAAATGATAAAAAAGGAAAAAGAAAACTACTCTTTTTCAAGTAATAAAGTGAGATAATTGTTTGAGATTTATTATTTAATTGATTTACTTAGTTTTTATGATTTCCATTCTTCACACAGAGACACCAACTGACATAAGTAGAAAGAGAATTTAATGAAACACTGCGGATGGACAGTGTGGTGATAGTGGAAGTGACTGTGACATGTTAATTAGTTTCTTCTCATCTTTAGAAAGAGGCAAAGCTGAACAAATCTTGGTTTCTGTTTATTGTTGCAGCAACTTGTTGCTGCGCCCAGGTGTTGGGGATCTGTGAGGCTACTGGGGTGATGCAGTTTCTGAAGAAAACTCAGAAATTCACACTAAGAGTTTCTAAACGCAGCAAAGAAACTCTCCGGCATTCCCTGCAGTTGTGGACGGCGTATGTTTTCTGAAGTCATCAGGGTTTCTCTTTCACTATGACCAAATTAATTTCTGTAGCTGTAGGAACCCACTGTTCCCAGACTTACAAGTCCAGACGGTTCAGAGAACTGCCCTTTTTGTACTTCCTAAAAAACTCTGTAGGGGAGTGAGGCCTCATTTTCCCTGACTCCAGAATCCCCCTACTTTACTGGCCTATGCTCATTTCTTGAATTTCAGTTCTCTAGTGTTTGTACCTCTCAAGAACTGTTTGCCTCTCCCTAGTTAGAAGTTTCATGCCTGTAAGCAATGACTTCAGCTAGAAGACATGTGGCACCTATTAAAATAAAATTAAAAAATCCTCCTGTTATTTTTGTGCAAAACCAAGATCATTGCTGGCTTTTAAATTCCTTCCCAATCCCTTCCCAATTTCCTTTCATCTAAACTTCATGTGCCTACCGATTTTGCCAAGGGAACCCGAACTATGTGAATCAGGCAACAGAACAGCAAGCCTCCATGAGGAAGAGGGAATCGTATTCAAGAAGTATTCAGTCCATGTGAAGTTGTTCTCACCAACTAACCCCGGACAGGTCGCTTATTGAAACTTTCAGTGTACTGGCTTTGCCCTTGAATGAAAATGGTTCTAAATATTAATACTCATAAAGCACCTGATAAAAATTTACTTCAGCTTCAGGCTTGGAATTTAAGTCTTAGTCCTAGCATGATACAGTTCATCTTTGGGCTTACTCCAGTTCTGGTCTACTAAAAATCAAAGTGCTGCCCAGGTGCGCGCTTAGGGTCAATCCATACAAAACCAGAAAAGGGTTTCTCCAAAATTGCATTCGCGTGAGTGAAGTGGGGTGTTCGTTTTTCCTTTCCACACTGTTCTCTAGGGCAGAACATTTGAAATCAAAGCAAAATATGCGCAGCTTGACATGTTTGGTGAAGAATATGTGGAGTTTTATAAATGGAGCACAGTGTCTAAGAATAACGTGACATTTGAAATATGTTTGTGGTAAAAACCCCAGGCTATGTGTGCTATTACTGTGTAAGACTGTCACCTTAACCATATTGCTACAACTTTGTCTTCAGGCTATAGAATTTCCCATATTTCATTAAAAATAGGCTGTGGTAACACAGCCTCAGACGGAGTGCATTCAAAACCGCATCTCTGCAAGAGTATTTTTTAAATTTAAATAGGTGACTGACCTGGTTCCCTTATGAGTTTTACCACCCTGCATGATCTCATTTCCCTTAAAGATCAGTAGTGCAACACAAACACCAAAGAGAAAAATCTCTGCTATGATGTTTTTTTACACAGGGGAAAAAAGTACAACTGTGCAGGAACAATGTTAGAAAAAAATTAAACCAAATGTTTCTGGAGTCCCTGAGAGAATGAGCTCCTTCAGTAATGTGATGTAATCACAAGCTTTTTGAAACAGTTGTGAGCAATAATGGTAACAAATAACATACGCTACAATAGCCTCATGAATACACAATATGCACAATTCTTCAAAACCATTTTCTGTTTCTTAAGCAATGTGTCTCCTGAAGAAGCAATGAAATGGGGAGAATCTTTTGACAGACTGCTTTCTGAGAAAGGTTAGTAGTTTTTTGCTCTCTGTGCAGACTGTTAGGATGGAAAATTGATGGCAAACAATGGAAAATTATAAAATCAAGTTGCGCACTTAAATAGTCCTGGCAGTTACCTGAACGAGGTATGATGGGTCATTTATAGCAGCGCGTGTTTATGCTCTCCTCACGTGCTTAGGCTATAGCATGTTATCAACTACTGAAAATAGTTGAAAATAACTTAAGTTTTGTATTTTATTGAACAAAATAATAGAACAGACAGCAAAGAGTTCCTTCAATAAACTGTAGAATTTCACTTGAATATTGCTCAAATATTCCTGACTGCAAGCAAACCTTAAAAATGAAAACCTGTTCTATGTAGTTAAGAAAAGATTTTGTCACTTCTGATATAGTTTGTTTCTTAAACAGTGATAGGATCAAAGCTGGCCATCATTTGAAGAGGCCTGCTGCTTACAGAATTATCAAATGCACATATGTCCCTCCTTCCATTTTGGAGGGACACACACATGATCCAGCCACAGTGCTGGACACTATGTGCTTTTCAAATCTGCTCCTTGAACAGTTGACATCAATACAATTGCATTGCTTCATACTTGAGAAAGAAAATATCTTCAGCATAGTAACAATAGGATAAAGCAAATTGTAAAGGTGCTAAAAGCCATTAATTTTAAAGTGTTACAGGAGAACAGTCTACTTAGGAGCAAAGATTCGAATAGAGTTTCGGTCAACATTGATATGAATTTGATACGAATATCAAATTGATATTCAGCCAGAATAAAGTCCGTCATGTCCACAGACATCCACGTTTTGATCGCTTCTATTTCATGAGATCTCGGTATTGGGTTATTACAGATGCTGAGAATTCTGTAGTGGGAGTTACAGCACTCAGGATAATAATGGAAGAACTCACCTATTTTAAAACTTTAATGTATTTTAAAATAATTATCTGTAATGTGATGTTAATTCGAAGGGAGCACAACCTATTTTGTTACCTTGCACAGGCTGTGTGAAAAGAGTAACTGTCTGATAAGGATGTATTTTTTTAATGCAATTCAACATTCCGTTCTGTAGCTGGATTGGATGCCTTTACAAAGTTCCTGAAGACTGAGTTCAGTGAGGAGAACATCGAGTTCTGGATAGCTTGCGAGGATTACAAGAAAAGCAAAACTGCACATGAACTTTTGCCAAAAGCTAAGACCATTTTTGAAACATTCATACAGAAGGATGCTCCAAAAGAGGTACAGTAAAACTGTTCTTCATTGTGCACAGTATTTGACACAAGTGCATCTGATAAAATGCGCTTTTAAGAAATGCATGCCCAGGAGCAGGGACAACAGTTAATCATGCAGTCACTGACGTAAGAAGGCTGTATCTGAAATGTCAAAGCTCTGGAAGTCTGGAAGCAACTGCATAGATTATTCTGACTGTTCTCTGTACTTTCAATACCTCCTCCATGTTACTGTTCCAAGTGTAGAGCATGATGTTGTTTAAATGTTGTATCATAGGAACCAGAGATTCCTAGTGGTCTGTAAAGCCAGGACATATATATATATACACACACATATACAGGGTATATTTAAGAAAAAAGAGTGATTTTAAATGTTAAAGCTGCAATGAGACATATCAGCTAGTATTCGTGAAAAAGTATTATCTGCCTGTATTTAAAGCTGCCTCTGGAACAACAGATTTATTCTCCCTTTCTCTTAAACCAGTAATTGTCTATTAAATTACTACATAACTGAGATTCAGAAACTTATTTTAAATAAACCAAAAGACTAAGAGAGACTAGAAGAAACTATTACATTCAACATATCCTTTAAAATAATAATTACGTTTTGAGCATGGACTTTCCACCCCCAGCTCCAATTGTGTATTCTTGGTATGATACTGTCAGCACCTACACAAAAAATATGTTTATATGTCAATCTTCACCAACACTGAAGCCTTTTTATATTACTATCGTAGTGCAAAAAGTTTTAATATTTTCAATTTCTTTGTTTTACTGAAGCATGTTCTAAAAGATTCATAAATGAGCAAAAGGAATATTTCTTGCCTGCTCTAGGAAGGAGATGAGCAGGTTGGGAGATGATGAACTCTCACTGAAAGCCTCTTCAACAGGTCTTTTGGGTTTACAATTTCCTGTAATTCTATCAAGTTTGAGCAGATCAAATATGTCACTTGTCAATGCCTCTTTTCCCCTGTATTTTTTTTTCATTTGTCAGAATAGCAGAAGTTAAACCCTTAACTGCTACTTCCCTGTAACAAGGGTGAAAAAGGTGTAATTCTCATTTTAAGAGGATTGCAAAATGGTGCAATTTCCACCTGTAATTCCCATAGATTATATTTAAGATTCAGATCTACTTTTCCTAGGAAATGTCCACTTTCAAAGACTTATGTCCCTTTTTTATTTCTTTCCCTGCTGCATGTGTTTGGGGTGGGCCTTACATAAAAAGAAACCCCCTGAGCTGTTTGAGGTAGAGCCAGTCACGATCAGTCTGTGAGCAGTTATGGTAGGGCACCAAGCGCTGATACCGGCAACACTTACGAGACTGATGTAAGAGAAGAGATGAGCAGGAGGAAAGCTGGGGAGGGAACGGGGTGTGAAAGTTGTACTTTGGCTCACAGTAACGTAATGTTTTCTTTTTCTGCTGTAACTTTTGATTTGGTGCACGTAGTGTGGGTGCTGCTGTTCACCGTAAGCAGTTGACTTTGGTGAGCCTGCCTGCCTTGGGTTCAGCTGGGCAACTGAGACCAGCCCACTGTATTTCATTTCAGACCACGCAGCTCTGGAGCTTGCATCTTCTTGGTCTGACTTCTTGTCCAGCAGAGCTCTTTTACACACAAATTTCTGAGTGTACAGTTCGACAGGATCGTAAAATCTGAGGTTTGATGGGTGGACCATTTTATCATCATTAATTGCCCTTTGGTTCTTAGAGCTAAGCTATTTGTTTTAACTAGCTTCATGGAAATGACAGGCATATCTCAGCATGGAAACAAAAGCGTATTATAGAAGGAACTTTTTGACTGGATCAACATTTTTTAAAATATATTCTGACTTATTTTTCAAAACAGCATGCTTAAATCAGTGCCTGACACTTTAATAAAATTCTTATACTAATTCAGTCTTCCCAGGGTGAATGCAATGGCACATGGAATAAATGATGATTTTGATATGCTTTTCCCATCTAAAGCCTCCAGAAACCCATTAAAATAATTTTTATATTTTTATTATTGGAGTTTTCTCACCTTCCTACTACCAAAATTCTACACAGAAACCAGAAACTTTATATATTCACTAGCACAGTGCAATGAGACCAAGTTCTAAGTGAATCTTAAATGAGAATGGAGGGAGTTCTGCATTAGTGCAGTGTTGCAAAGCCTGACAGCTGCAACTGTACAAAGATCACTATCAGAAAGCTACTTGTAGTCAAACATCAAACTTCGTCTTCTATTTTACCGGTTTTCCGTTGTACCAGTGACACACCTGTGAAGACCTTCTGACAGCCATTACTGAACATAAACATACTAGCTGATTCTGTGGTGTTAATATCCCGTTGTATCAGGGATCCAAGGTCCTCTTATCCAAAAGGGCTTTCACCAAAGTACAGTGTTGTTGCTATGGATAATATCACAGGACATGCATGAACATGCATTAAAGAGATGCACTTTTCCACGTTCTCCAGGTGAATTTGGACTTTCAAACCAAAGAAGTCACGAGTCAGAATATTGAACGGCCCGTCATCACCACCTTTGATGCAGCACAAAACACAGTCTACAGGCTGATGGAGCAAGACAGCTACCCGCGCTTCCTAAGATCTGATCCTTATTTAAATTTGGTTAAGGGGAGGAATCCCAGTCGTCCCACCCTTAGGAGACGATCGCGGTCTTTTACTGTCAGTGATTTCCAGGGTGTACGACCAGACTTTACTGTTTGATAACAGGGAAACTCAGCCTTCTTAAATTCTAGCTACTGCAGCAACTCCTATGTGCTTTAAAATCCAAATCCTTAGCAGGCATAAATGAGTGGAAAACAACGTTACATGCACTTATACCAGGTCAGAGTCCTGTAGCCAGTGATTAATCTAATTTATTATATCGAAGTAGGCAACATATTGGCAAGACGTGTCATGTAAAGTTTTCATACAGGATTTTTTTTAAACTCAAGCAAGAGCTGTAATTGTATTTGGAGGAAAAATTTCAGTTTCCTGCATAAAAATGTTGTATAAAATGTTATTTGATAATATCCACCACGTATTCTGGGCCTGTATTAGGCAGGACAGATTTTCACCACAGTTAGAATCTGTATACCTAGCCTTTGCACATACTTATGTTTCTGCAGTATTTCTTACACTAAGCACAGAGTATTTGTGGTATTTTCGCATACTGCAAAACACATAGGAACATTTTTAGGTATAATGTAAGTTACATGTGTCTTAACTACAGCCACTGCATAACTAAAATTTAGCTATTGCATATTTTAAGAGGAACATAAGAAAACCTACTTAATTTTTTGGGGTAGGTTTTGTGCTATTTTCTTATTACATGTGTCTGTTCTCTGTATTTAAGTTATTCTGTGTAAATTAGCTTTGCCATCAAATACTTGTATCCTAATTTTTTGCAACCAAATGAGCAGCAGTAAAGGCCTAAGAATGCTATTTTAACACAGTGTGTATCATTAAAAATACTGGTCATATGTATGTGTGTATATGTATATAAATACATAAAAAATATTTCTGCTCATATTTGTAAATATTTATGGAATGCTAACTTTGTTACTAAACTTTGTTCTAAATTTTTGCTGCCTTTTATTTTGAAAAAGAATCTAAAAATTAACAGCTCTTGGATCCAGAATAAGCGTCAGTGCTACTGGTCGTTAATATGCTGTCTATGGTTATAGAGGAGGAAGGAGAAATCTCCCCTTTTATTTCTTTACTATTGAAGTCACACATATCCTTTTCGTAGCATATGCAGATATCCTGTCCTTTTCTTTCAGAATTGATGCAGACATACCTTGAAGCATGGGGCAGTGCTTGAAATCTTAAACATTGGTTCAGTTTAGCAAGCGGCTGCAGGACTTAGTTGTAACTATGACTTGTATCTTTAGTCACTTTTCATGGAGTTTAAGCTTTCTGCTTTTTCTTCCCATTTCTGTAAGCGGTCACAGTGAAGAGGTGCAGTTCCTGAGGATGGGGCTTTGTGTTCATTACTAATTCAGGCTGTATATGAACTGCTTGATCTGAGGGATTCCGTGTCTGCTTTAGTAACTTCCAAAAAATCTGAAGTGATCTACTTAAAAAGGTGTCAGGATTCCGTTTATCACTAGGACATGGAAAGTAAAATGTGATGACTCCACTTCACTTATAATTCAATCCTAGCTGTAATCATTACCATTTCAATCAAAAGTGTTACCGTGCACAGGGACCCAAACTCACCGGGAAAAGCTGCTGAGCTGCCAATGACCTGGGAACCACGTCCAAGCTCTTGGCTTTCCCTGGGGCATAGACGGGAAACACATTTGTAACTATGAGGAGTATGATCCTTGCTGGTTTGTTCCATTATCCTTCCCTGATCCCGAAACTCCAGGCACATGCTATTTCTAACTGTGTCAGAACCAGGGCACAGTGATTCAGGAACAAATGGAATGTTTTCAGTAGCGCTGATGGTGTATTTCAGAGTTTATCAGAATCAAAAGCAGCTTTGGAGCTTGTCAGCCTCTGTTTTTTACAAACTGGCTACAGTCCTGTTGTCATTGTCGCAGGTGTCACATGAATGTGTGAATGCAGTGAAAGGCAATGTTCTAACCCAGCTTCATTGCTGAAGTCAGTCTATTTTTCTGGGTAGATTTATTTACTCTTGCTCTTTGTCTGTCCCTTAAACACAAATTGATTCTGCCAGAAACGATCCTATTTCTGATTATAGACTCTCTAATATCACCACAATGTCTGGATGCCAAAGTTCTTGGATATTTAAAATATGCATATTCCTATGTTTTGTATTACTAGCTTTGTTAGAGAAAGAGGAGATGTGAGAACAGACCCCCCTGAGCATTAATGGTGCGTCTGCTGCAACACAGGCATAAGACCTACACATTTGTATCTAGATTCTCCCCTGGTGTGACTGTGCTCCCTCATACCAGCTGAGAATCCGCACCTTTACTCTTCCATGGATGAAATAAATGAAAAAAAGGCGTATGTTTAATGCTGTTCCAAAATCCAAACAAATGACAAATATAGTACCTCGAGTATGACTTTTTCTTCTTAGCAAAAAACCAGCTGTTAGTCAAAAGGGTCTGTAATGATAAATAGAAGTCAGCAGGCGCCCTTTGTTTCATTTCACAGACACATGGAAAATTTTGCTTATCTCCAGGGAGGCCTTCCGCAAGACCGTCAGTCTGTGGTACTGACAGTGCTAGTCCCTCTTAAGAGTTTTATAATGAAAACAAACAAATAAGATATTCCTGGTAGCTATTTATGCATGTATGTTTTTCAAAGATAATTATGAACCGTAGCTACATTTACAGCAGACTAATGCCATGGGAACTGCTGTAAAAAAGAAAGTCAAGATAAATTCAGAGAAAGGAAGGCGAAGGGCACAAAGATAAATTAAAATGACATAATTATCTGGCAAAGGGTGTTTTCCAGAAGAGGGTCCTTTTAGTGAGAGAAAATGAGTGCTCTACTGTTAGTTCTCTACTGTTAGTGCTCTACTGTAGCTCTGGAAGATGAACTAAGCACAGACTTAGTACAAGTCTGTGATGCTGTTCCAGGATTGAGTTAGACAGGACTGATCAGACTAAGGGCTAGCCCTGCACCTTAGAATACTGCCAGAGGACATAGTGGGGCTTCTCTAGTTTTGGCAGAATCAATGCCATAGTTACATAAATGCTTTCGTTTATCTGACCTAGTGCAAATAATACATACACAAAGCCTATCGGGCAGTTGGGGATTATCTTATGTAGCATTTTGTGTGCCATCCAGCATTCAGTAAGAGCTCTCAGAATAATCCTCTTACCAACACAATAATTTACCCTACATAAACACTTCACTTTACTCCTTACATACTGAAGTCTCCAGACCCAAAGTGCAAGGGAAATATTCTGCTGACTTGTATAGCACAAAGGTTTGCCTCCCGTTTCAATACTTAAGTCTAATTAGATGCTTTAAATTAGCTGAATTATTATCTGCTGTTCTTGTTTAACTCGAGGGAGATGGAAATACCCATATACACCTATCATCTTCGGCTTTTGGGATTTGTTATTGTGCAAAAGACAACTTGATTAAGCTTTGAACTGACAAGAAACAAGAGGAATGAAATATAAGATAAAGAATCTCAAAGAAAAAGATAGATTTCCATCTTCCACTAAAGTAGGCAATTGGTAATATGTCTCTTATGTGCCTTTACGTACCACAGCTTATAAGTGACTCACAAAAGGCAGATCATTTTTCTCTCCTTTTTTTCCCCAGCTGCTCAGCCTGCCTTAATTAACTACTGCTTTGAATGCAGTTCCCTCTCTTTTCCACACCTACAGTCAAAAGACCTCAACTGAGAAAAAAAAATGCATAAAATCATCTTCCTCTCTTCAGTGATTCATATACTCATAAACTTACGCCTTGCTCAGGTGCCTGTCCTAGATCCCACTCTGTTTTTTGCATTTTAGTCAAATGCCTCAATCAAATGCCCTTTAAGCTCCCGTGTGGCTCTGTGCCAAAGCTAAAAATGTGTTTCCTCTATACACCATCCAGCTTGCTTCCATTCCTACTTTTTTCTTCCTAATTATCTCTTGTTGTCATCTTCCATGTTTTGTACTCTGATCATTTACGGCTGGTCTCATAAAAGCTCCCTCTGGTTTTACACCAAAGCTTTTCTCTCTCCGTTCCTAAATGACATCTGTTTGCGGAACTTCCTCATAAGTCACCTACAAGAGATTATCTAGATGCCGAGATTTACAATTTAGCTTTGGTCGTTGCCTTCTCTATGAAATGTAGCTAAAAGCACTTAGCATGAAATGCAATCCCACGGAAATCAATTTAGAGTTTTCAAACAGGGCAGAAGATTAAGCTGAAGTCTAACACCAGGATAACCCCGACCTGTTGTTTCTTCACTGTGAAATTTGCTTGTATTTGAGAAACTCATTTCTTCCCAACTTTCCAGACTCATTTTAAATTTCTGTAGTTAATGCTACTCCAGTTTTTCCTTAAGGAAGAGACGGCTTCTAAGGATTAAACCCTCATGTGGACTGTCCCCCTGTGGAGGACTCTGTAGGAGGTTTCCTACATCATACGCGTACTTTACCCATATTACTTGGGGGCGGGCGCACTGGAGAAGTCAGAGTCCTGTAGTCATTTACAAAAAGAGGTAACCAAGAACATCAGGATATTGTTTTTCCCTTTCATTCATTCCTAGCACAGGTTGGCTTGGGACACCCACAAGGCATTATCAAAAGGCAACTGATATGGGGAATTATGGTTCAAGAGTTTTCTGAGGCATAATATCTACCTTTTGTATAGGCTTGCATTGGTGTAATTTATTCCTGTCTCCAAGCACAAGGTCATAATATGATCCTGTATGTTTGTGCTATATAGGCTTCTTGTATGAAGTTTTGTGAAGTCTGATGCTATGTAGATAACTGTGTTTTCACCCAGGACACGAGCTGTGCTGAATTATCTGCTAGTTAGGACTAAATGAGAATCTTTGAGGTTGCACATTTTCTTGAGAATTGTTTCCAATTCACTTCTAATGTAGGTTTGTGTTTGTATAGTGCTTGGAAATCCTGTGTGTGAGGAGCCCAGAATGCTGTAAAACATTTTGACAGGTTGTTCTTGAAATCAAAACGTTTTACCTGAAGGGCACACTTTGCTTGGGTGGAAAATAACAGCTCATTTTCTTATGCAAAGCACCTCTGGCATACTGAAGACGCATGGAGTTATTCATATGAAAAAGAAATATTTTTTGTGAGTTGGCCATGCTGTGCAGTGCTGTTGGAAGGTGGGCATTTACATAGTGCTGTGATTAAAATGTATTTGCATCCCGTATGACAGGCGCTTCCATGTTACTAGGATGCCAGCCGTCCTCAGATCATCTTGGCTTCTCCCAGCCTAAGAAATGCAGTCAAGTCTCTCTTTGCTTGAGTTGCTTGGGCCAGCAGAACATTAACATTTTTATCCTGCTGAGGTTACACTGTACAAGACAACACTATCCAAGCAAACCTGGGTATGGAATGGACTTAACAGAGGCCAAGTGCTGAAGGGCAATAACATACTGAACCTGATCCAGGGGAAACACCAGCACAGCAACACAGCTGTTGGAGAGTGTGAGAGTGTGACCTTTTCTCACACTGCCCTCGGGTGAGTACAAGGCAACCCTTTTAGGAACATAGATAAATGAAAGTGATTTCTTAGGTTAATACACCAATAGTTTGAACACGAAGAGTTGCTTTATACTGTCTGTTGAGATGAGTATCTAGCTCAGATGTGGGTCAGAGGAACAAAAAAAGACATGCCCCTAAACAGCCAATAGCTTTTCATAATGGAAGATAACTCAGTGAAACTAATGCCTAAAGATAGCTAAAGAATAAAAGATGTGTATCAGTAAAAAGTCAAGCAGTAAGCCTAAAAGTTCAGGATATTTAAATATTTAATAAATCACAAGTTCTTAGCAAGTAATATTGGCAAAGGAGGAAACATTCAAGCAATACATCCACATTCTCTTTCCTACACTTCTAGCTCTGCTATTGCCTGTCAAAGGCAGGGAACTCAAAAAAAAATCCATAGCACGGTCCTCAGAGTTGCAGAAATGTTAAGCCAGAGGCCTCACAGATAAAGTTTTTAAAATACACTGAAATTAGCTGAGCAGATAAGGGCCTGAGCTACTCTTCAAGTCCAGTCTGGGTTATTAGTGAACTGAAGCTGCAGACATCAGCCGTGTCATCTGGGTCTGGATTTCCAAAAAACTTAGAAATAATTCTGTGTGCAATTTCCAGCCTATCTCTAGTACATATTCGTATTTCTTTTTGCTTGCTTGATACCATTTGTTATGAATAGCCAATACATTTACGCAAGTAGCCGATGCATTTGTTTTTATACTAAGGTCATTTATCTCCTTATGAAATTTCAGTGAAATATTAGAGTTTGTTTCCAGAAATTATTAAGTTCCAAGCAGAGGAAGTATATGACAGTACTACCAGCTACTTTTTATGGGAGAAGGTGACTGTGCCTAACTTTGGTTAGTGTACTCGTGATATTTGTACTGGGGTAATAATAGTAACAACCCTATTACTTACTGCATAGCTGAAATACGATCAGCTTATGTTAGACTAAACAGTCACTGAACAGCGTGTTACACAATGGTGAAAATCCGTCACAGCTTCATTGTGTTTTTGTGGACTACGATCAGTACCCCATAAAATGCAAGAGCAACCGGATTGCATCCATCTAATTACTCTAGGTACCAGTCAGAACTAGTGGTTTTTAGCATCCTTCTGTGGCTGCTAAGACTGACTTAAAAATATCTGTTGGCACCAAAAATCTTCAAGAGATTGTCATGTCTTTATCATTCAGACATCAGGCAATTAGATAGGTTTTTTAAAAAATGCATCTTTTACACTGTTGGGAACTTTTTTTTTAAAAAAAAAGTATAGCATCAGATGTTTATAAAGAAAATAGGCACAGATCCTGCAACCCTCCCTCTCATAAAAAGTCTCACAGGAGTCAGTGTGACCATTGTATAACAAGAATGGTATGACCTCTTCAAAAATGTAAGATAAGTCAATTTATAATCACAGTTCTGAGATGGGTGAGTAGTATAATCATTGGGATTAGACGCAGGGTAAACATGGAGAAATGAATGGAATCATCTAAGAATTATGTGTTGCTTACTTTGGTGCCATCTCTGTCTCCATAACCTTGCGGACTTTACTGGCATTACATCAAGGAATCAGAAAACTTGCATCAGGCCTTTATCTAGAATTTTGTTACTTGGCTGAAAATTCAACACCTATTTTGAACTGCTCCTGACTCTCAGCCACTTCTCAGTGAGAACCTAGGGCACTTAAAAGCAAAGTCCTTTCCTAAAAATAACAAGACATAGTGTTGCATGTAGATGCCTGTACGTATTTGCAGAAGAACCTCCTGTTTGCTGCATGGGAAAGGTAGACCAGCAATCACAAAACGTAACATTAGAAAAAACCCCTACTTTTTCAATAATTGACAAAGAGACGATCTCACTGTTAGAAAATTCAAGTTGTAGCTATTTACAGTCTGCCAGGCCAGAAATTCTACAAATAAATATTGTTTGGATTTTGTATTATGTTTATCCTCTTTTACTGAAGATCAAACCTGGTACGGAATCAATCACAAAGGATTTAATGTAAATGCAGATGCTGAAGGTTTTCTCTCCACCGGTAAGATGCTGAAGTTAGTCTTACCAGTACAATGTGTGGAAGGCTCTTGGTCCTGTCTGGCACGGTGTCACAGTCTGCAGTAAATACTCTGTGGAAATACAAGAAAATAACTGATTAAGGAAAGTAAGAAGCATTGCAGAGAATCAGGATGATAATTCATATTTCTCTCCTTCTGTTATAACTTCAGAAGCAAGTGGATGCAAAGGTAAGAAATTGCAGGATGGATTTGTGTTTTACTGCCAGGAACCTTTTTTAGTATTACGTAGGACTGAAAGGGGTATCTTGGGTCATCACTTCTAGTTTCCTATTATCAAAGGAAACAACTTAAAATACTCTATTTCATAACTATATGAAGGTCTATCTTTGCCCTGAAACTTCTTTTACAGGTCCATAAAAGCTGAGGATAAGGTGCTTGGGTTTTACTTTCTTACTTTAGAAGACAGACAGAGCTAAAATAAGAGACTGTGTCCTAAGGCTAAAGGCAGCTTTGTATGTGCCCGCACCATGTTGGAAAATCAAATGGGCTGTAAACTCTTGAGGCTGCTCTACCTGATGTAAAATATTTTAACTGAGAAGACAAAAATCCCTTATTCTGCAGGTTGGGACAGCTAGATCCCAGTTCCTGAACCACTGGAAGTTTGTTCATATCAAGTGGAGACATTGAGAACCAGGAAGGTGGGTAGGGTGAGCAAAGGATTAGGCAGCAGGACAAGATTTGGAGGGAGGCAAGAAGCCAATCAGTAAGACTGCTTGTTCAGGAGAGTGAGGGACAGTAGGGAACGTACAGAGACAGAAAAGAGCTGGGGAGGAAAGAAAGATTATAAAGAGCAAAAGAAAAAATTACGTGAAAATGTTTTTGGGGCAGAGTGATACTCCTAGAAGATGGCACACAGAATGAAACATCGGTAAGGGTAGAAAAAAATCACTGCATTGAAAGTATCAAATACTACGTGATCCCATTATTTGTAACAGCATCCATGTGCAAATGATGGCCACCCCAACACTCTTTGGTGCCATTGTGGTAAGTCTTGTGTGAGTAACGACTCAATGGCTTTAGACCTTCAGGACACATCAGGTGATGGATAAGCTTTGCAGATACAGTATGACAGTAAATAGTTATAGTTAAGACTTTTCTAGTTATGTGCACTGAACCCGTTTTCCTTTCTTCTTTTCCACAGTCAGTAAGCCAAATGGTCAATGAGAAAAAACACAAAGTGATTTCTCTCTTAAGATGTTGTTCAGAACGTAAATATGTCTTGAGAGATATTTGCGTATAAATTGTTTTTAATTAAAATTACTTTTGGTAGATTAAGTTAGAAAGGCCACTGTTAAAAAAATAAGCCGTGCTTCTGAATGAAATAATTTTAAAGGAAGTGTTAAAACCAGTTTGTCAATTGCATTGTACTGTTTGGTTATTCGCATGCTAATTGTATTGTTCCTGCTGTCACATTACCTTCAGCTTGAAGATCAGTCAGAAAAAGAAATTCTGCCCTACCTGTGACAGTCAGACAGTGGAACAAAAAATGCCAGTGAAGTGAGTTGTTCTTTATGACTACTTTAATCGTAGGAGATTTATGGGATGGGATGATCAACTTCTGAATAATCTGGGCAGCTTTTGTTTTCCTTCCCCCTTTAAAATGGATATGATTATTTTGATTCCTTGTTGTCAATTCTGCTTGCCATCCCCATTCAAGTAAATCCCATGAGGTCAGTGAGATAATTCTCTGAGCGGTAAGTAAATATTATAACAAGTAATACTACCCATAAGGAAGAGAAACAGAATTAGGTTCATGCTGTCTGTTTTATCCTGCTCTTTCATTTTGCTTTTTTGTTTGACAAGAAAGCTAGTAAATATTTACTGAACAACCTGAGAATTTGTTATATATTTGATAAAAGTTTATTACAGTTACTAAAACAAATTCTCAGCTGATTAATTCCGTCAGCCCACAACGTCTCGCAAAGTACTATGCAATGCTGTGTTTAGTTTTCATTTGTGTTTTCCACACAGACTGACTGTATTTGCGCTTCAGTTTCCCTCTTGTAGGCGTGCATATATACGGATAAATATACATAATTTTATCCTTTTTGTTTAAATATAATGTTGTGCAGTCTGGACATAAGTAAGCTTACAGCTACAAAAAAAAAGCTTGCATGTTAACGATGTCACAATCTATTGCAATAATTATAACTACAGCTATGCAATATGGTGACACTATCATATAATCTCTTTATAAATTTACAGTTAGAAAATACCACTACTGGTGATGCTGAGAAATGACTGTGGAATACAGCTTTCAAAGTAACCTGTGTACTTCAGAGCAGGGTTTTGACAGTGGAGCTCTCAGAGTCCCTTTATGAATATCAAATATTTTTTACAGAATTCTAGGTGGGATTTTTGGTAAATGAAGAAAACCTGTAATATTTTATACAGAACAAAGTGTTGGTCAATTTATCAGACTCCAGAGCCTTTTAGCTCCTAAATTACCTATTTTTTAAGTTAGTATGTGCAGTGTCAGAAAGTCAATAGCCAGCATAAAGGTCTTTCCATAGGTGATTACAGACACCAGTTGGTCAGACAAACAAAAGCACAGTGAACTTCAAAGGTTACTTTAAAATGCTCTCCTGATGCATGGGCACCTTGTTGGCCTGGAGAATACATGCTCTTATAAAGCTGGCCTAGAGGAAAGAGCAGCACAGCATGTGCGGGCAGGTGCTGTGTTTTAGCAGAGCCTTTTCCACCCTGTTTTTCACTCACCCAAATTTCCCAACCCTCAGTATTGCATCTGTGGCTTGTGATGCTTTGCTGAGCCAAGAATGACCTGCTCTGCTTTTAGTAAGGATGAACTCCTGTCCTCCCTAATGCACCTGAATATAAGACCTAGGCATCAGGTAGAAAAGACTTACACCCCACCAGTTTGCATGTCTGAAACCAGACATGAGAAAAACCTTTCAGTACAGAATGACTGACCTCCAGGAAAATTAAGTTCTGAGGTTTTTTGAACAGAAACAGGGTCTAGTCAGAAAATAACATATCTGTTTCCACCGAAAATCCTGGAATTGGTTTTGATTTTGCACTGAAACAAATCAAAATATTTCCAGTTTCCCCTTTCTTACCACCAATGAGAGAGAAGAGGCACACAAATCGTTTCAGAGCTGCCAGGATGTCAAGTCACTCTATATTCAAATAGAATATAAATTCAGTTTCAGCCCCTCTGCCTGCCATAACCAATACAAGATACACAACCAGCAGATTAGAAAGTTGGTTTCCTCTCTCTCTTTGTCTGGTTAATACATCTCTACTATTTGTATAAAATGTAACAGTTGCATCAAAAGCAATGTGAGATACCAATCTTTTTAATTATTACCTACCTCTCCAGGTATTCTTGCAGGTATTCTAGAGTTGACGTGTCTCCTTATAAAAAAAATCTGTATCCAAAATGAGGAACAAAAAATAAAAATCAATTATCCTGCTCTGACCTTGCACTTTGAACTATTTGTTTTATTTCAAGGTATTTCACAAGTGCAAAATGCTAGTAAAACATTCTTCGTTCCCTTTAAACTTTTATGGTTTTTTAAAAAAACTAATATGCACTAATTTTGCAAATAATTTGGGATAAAACCTTCTGCTGAGTCTGTTCTGAGTAGATAATAGGGTTTCAGCTCAATAAAAGTCTTCATCTTTTTCTACCTATCTTTAAAGTTTACAAGAACAACCCATTAACACTTGAAATTTCTAGCTCAAAAATTTTCACTGAGGACATTTGTAAGATCTGATTTTTTTTTTCAAAATTTTCCTTAAAAAAGGCTATTTTAGAAAAAAATTCACTTACAAACTGCTGAACTGAGGTTTATTGAAGTAGTATGCTGTTTATTTTAAAACAAAATATGAACTTGATGACCAAACAGATTTATTCATGTTTATCGCCAAACAGTGGATATGAGACTAATGTTCATTTGGGGATGCTGAGGGTACACACTGACCGCCTGCCAAAAAAGTAAGAATAACAAATAGTAAAACTGGCATGCAGGAAAGCAGGTAGGCACATGCTGACATCTCCACACGTGTGCCTGATATTTCCACAAAATGTTTCATTTTCAAGAAATCATATTCTTCCAAGTTTTTGTGACAAAAAGTGCAAGCAGTAACAATAACGCTGGTAAAGGATCTTCCTTTTCTCTGCTGGATGTTTAAACTAAAAAGTCATAAAATGGTAATTTTAATCAAAACATAATTTTGGAGGAATAAAAGACATGTTTATTTTATCTATGTGCTCATGGACTAAATTGAATATGACCATCCTTCCCAAGTTACAAGAAAAAGTTATTTCACACACTCAGCCTGCAGTTCCCTTGTCTGACATCCTTTTTCCCGTCAGCTCGTGTGGCTGTCCTCTGTTAGCTGGCATGCTAAGCTTTGCTTCTCAACCATCTCGAACAACTTCAGAACACCCAGGCTTTGTAAGAGCAAGGGTTCATTTAGTTCCATGTCTCATTTCTAATGGAAGCCTACAGCAAGTTACAAAGGAAGAGCCCAAACTATGAATTTACTCAATATTTTATACCACTGTTACCATGATAATTCTACTCATTTCAAGCAAACAGTGTCATATAAATTAATGGTTAGTCTATTGAACTCGAGAGTGCACACTCTAGAATTATTATCCCTCCTATGCTTTTATTATAGTTCAACCTATTGCAAGCATTACTACTTTCCCCTGGGTGAATAATCAATGTCAAATAACGCTGTACTTCATGAGTCTATATGGTTCTCTACACTCCAAAATAAAAGTGTCACACTTTTTGTCGACTTGCTGTCATTCATTGCTTAGGGTATTATGAATTACTCACCCTGCTCCCTCAAGGATAGCCAAATAATAGACTAGCTACAACAGACTGCACAGGCAAAAGATCACAATGTTATTTTCAAGGATAGATGCTGTTTCCACAGGTCAAACGCGGGGGAAACGATGGCCTGGTCTGAGTCTGTGGATACACTACTAGCTAATAAAGGTAAGAAGTAAGTGAAAAATATTTTTTTAAAAAAAACCATGTGTCAACCCAGTTCACAAACGTTGCTGTCGGGTTTTCACACTGCTCTCCAGTTTGAGTCTCCACGTGCTTTGAACCACACCAGCGCTATTGCTGGAGGCATGTGAGCTGCTGTGCTGAAAGGCAGAGGGGGCACGTTTCTCCAGGCTGCAAACGCAGTATGCCTTCTGGCCAACGCTTAAAGGGACATTTAAGAAGGCAGAAGTGCTCTGGAAGAGCTTTGTTTTATGAAGGTAGCGGTTGTTAAACTCTCCATGCAATGGTTCTGTTTTTCTTATTTTTGAAATAAAAAACCACCACAAAACTTTTTTTTAGCTATTCCTGTTACAAAGAAATATACGTGTTGTACATTGACTTTCAGTCAAACAAAAAATGATTATTTTTAATATACTCAAAGCACATCTCCAAGAGATCCTACTCCTACTGACCGGAAACTCCAAACCACATAGAACTTATAGACGTCCTTGCTCCTGCCTCATTTTCCTGCAGTAGCTTTGTGGCCTGGACCCTGGGGTGCCTCCATACTGTTTCTGAATAGTATTAACTCAACTAACACAACTACATTGGTGTGCTGTCAGCTTTCTTTACTAAGAGCTTGTGATTTGGATTAATTTGAAAACAATTTATTCCAAACAAACCTTTCTTTGTTTCATTTTTTTCTCTTAAAAGTAAAAAAAAAAATGCTGAACAAAGAAGTAACGAAGAGCCCCTCTCTTCATCCAAGTCTTAATCATTACTTGAAAGGAGATGGAAGCACTGCTTAAGCAGGATAACCTCAGCTCTGAGAGGAGCACACTACCACAATATGACTTAATTTTCTGCTTGCTTCTTAGACCAGGGGTCACCCTCAAATCCCTAATTCCCTAGTCACTGCAGATTCTCTTGAAGACCAAAACCTCCAGGATCCCCTTTTGACTAGGGTATCAGTGCTACAGAAGCCAAGCCACGGCAGGCAGGAGTTGGGAGCGTTCCTCAGTTAGTAACTCTCTGAAAGAATTCTTTTAGTCACCTTATCATCACTATAGTTTCATCTCCTGCTTATTTCTCCCACTACCACCTCTTAAGACTAACTGCTGGCTGACAGGCAAAACAACATCAGACACATAAGTTGCGCTATATATACTGTACATATACACACACACACATGTTGTATATATACATACATATAATCTGCATTCATCTTTCCACATATACACACACACACATGTTGTATATATATATATACATATAATCTGCATTCAACTTTCAGTTTTCCCCTACCCATTATCTCATGTATTTTTCCCCAGATGGCTTGGCAGCTTTTAGGACGTTTCTGAAGTCAGAGTTCAGTGAGGAGAATGTGGAGTTCTGGCTGGCCTGCGAGGACTTCAAGAAAACCAAGTCCTCCACTAAGATCGCCACAAAAGCCCAAAAGATTTATTCCGACTTTATACAAGCTGATGCTCCAAAGGAGGTAAATAGCTTTTTATGTGTACTTTGGGTACTGAGGATGGGAATTCAGTGGAAAGTTCAGATCCAAACTTCCAGGAATGACAGAAAATACAATTCAGCATGGCTGCTTCCATTTTCATGTCAATTATTTATCAGGTAGAAAACTCTGTGTGGAACTCTCTGAAGCGAAAAAAGGCCTCTTATGGTTTATACTTTAGACACATTCCTCGTGCAGGGCATGCATTTATCTCTCCTTCTGAAAATTCTGCCTTAAGATTTAAGGAAATATATGTTCAATATAATTTGTTTCCTCCATCCATTTTTGCAATGCAATAAGCACCGTTTCCTCCATATTTTAGATACCAGTATATTGGAATGTTAATGATTGTATTTGTTCTATTGCACAGGTATTTTTGGACATAATGAAAATAGAAATGCAAACTTGTGAATATTTCCATCACAGCATTCAATTTTATAATTTGTGAAGGAACAAATTGCTAATTAGTTATTGTTCACATTCTAGTCCCTAACAAAGTTTTACGCTGATGGTTTTGCCTTTGGCAGTGAGCGTCCTTTGAATGTCCCCATGCCTTACATATGATTGAAATCCATTTTTTTATTATTAAAAAAAAAAA